GGTGAGTGCTCTGCGACAGGTGTGGGGAAAAGACACGCCTACTTTGCGTGATCCCCGTGATTGTTTTTGTTTTGCCTCAGGGCGTTCGTGTAAGAAAAAGTGAGATGATTACAAACATCTTTTGAGACTTAAATAGCCTTTTTTATTAAATAAAGATAATTATGTATACCAACAGGTTGCATAAAATCAATGTTTTGAATGAAAATTCGACCAATCCATGAACATAAATAAATATTTATAAATACATATTCTATAGCTACCCATCTATCTATACAGTATATGTACATATACATATATATATATATATATATATATATATATATATATATATATATATATATATATATATATATGTGTGTTGTGTGTGTGTGTGTGTGTGTGTGTGTGTGTGTGTGTGTGTGTGTGTGTGTGTGTGGTGTGTGTGTGTGTGTGTTGTGTATATATGTATATATATATATATATATATATATATATATATATATATATATATATATATATATATATATATATACATACACTCACCACACACACACACACACACACACACACACACACACACACACACACACACACACACACACACACACACACACACATATACATATATATTATATATATATATATATATATATATATATATATATATATATCAGTACACACACATATATGCACATATATACACATACATAAAGACATACACATGCACATATATGTATTTGTGTGTGTGTGTGTGTATATTAGTTACAGAAACACAAGACACACATATCTGTGTAAATATGTGTGTACCTGTTTTATACATTTAAACTTCTACATATACATAATGGAGTGCTTAAACAGACAAACAAATAAAATAAATAAATTGTAAGTAAATAAAAATAAATAAAAAACAGGTACTATTTTTCGCAAGAAGCTACAAGTGCTTTACGTGAGTTATGTAAGAAAATGAGACTCCATTATACTGGACAACTGAAGCCTTTCGTAACTCGACTGTGATCTTGAACTTTAAAATACTGACTTAACATTCGTATGGACCGCTTGAACTTGCTTAATTTGGATAACAAATCTTGATCTTATTCTGTAAACATATTACAAATAAACTTGTCCCTCGCACTTATGTAACCCTATTGAGTGAACAAATAGAACAGTTTACTAATAAATCACAGCATGTAAATAGATCACTCGTGAAAAAAGAAACTGGCAACTGTATACTTCTCTGGATATAAACTCAGGAGGTTTCCGAATCAGACATCAGAGACACATAAGTCCTTCAAGATGAAATTTGTAAGTGAAGGCATTTTTAATATAACGAAGTTTCAGTGATCTCTAAAACATCTGCTAAAAATGCATGTCTTTACTTATTACAGTTAGTGCTTGCCCTCCTTGTCGCCGTGGCCTCTGCCGACCGGCTGTACGAGGCCCCAGCTCGGGATGACTCCGACGAGATCGCCATCTTGAAGGACGACCGTGTGATCGAGGACGACGGAAGGTACAACTTCGACATGGAGACTGCCAACGGCATCGTCTTTTCCGAGTCTGGCTCTCCTGTGGGAGACGAAGGAGCCGTCCATAGTGCCGGATCCTTCTCGTGAGTCAACGTCTAAATTTCAGCCACATATGAATATGTTAATTCATAAGCACGACATTCCATCAATAACGAAAGATGAAAGGAACCACCATATTTTACGTATTTATTAATGGCTTCTCGCGTTGCAGGTACACCGCTCCTGACGGCAGCGACATCCACCTCCAGTACGTAGCTGACGAGAACGGATTCCAGCCACAGGGCGACCACCTGCCCGTGGCTCCCGAGTTCCCCCACCCGATCCCCGACTTCGTCCTCAGGCAGATCGAAAAGGCTGCCGAGGAGGACGCCCGCAGCGCCCGTGGGGAAGTCTCCCGCTCTTACGGTACTCCCGATGACGACTAAAATGTTACACTTCTACGATATGCGTCTGTTTCCTGTGACCACCGATATGCGCGAACCCTGTTTTTGTCTTAGATTAGGATTGTACATATAGTCTAGGTCTTTATTTGTTATAAAATCAAATCCACCATCATGTTCTAGTCTTGGTTTTCCTAAAATGATTATGGTTCTGCGTATTTTGATGGCTTTACTTCACACATCGAACCATTTGTCAACTTAGATGCAAACATACCACACACACACACACAGACATATACATAAATTCAGGATTTACCATTTAATATAATGAGCACTTCCTTATGATTTATGACCCAGAAGAAAACACTGCAGAAAAGCAACTAAAATTGAATCAAGTGGCTTTAATCAAGGATCTGTATGGGCAGATATGTATTATATATATATATATATATATATATATATATATATATATATATATATATATATATATATATATATATATATATATATATATATATATATATATATAATATATATATATATATATATATATATATATATATATATATATTATATATATATATACTAAAATTATCATTCTTTAATATGAGAAAAGTTTGAGAACTTGGTCTTCTTATCTTCCATCGCTGAATAATTCACTATCTTGAGTGTGTATGTATATAATTATATAAATTCACACACACACCTGCATGCACACACACACACACACACACACACACACACACACACACACACCACACACACACACACTACACACACATACATTCATATACATAAGTGTGTATTTGTGTTTGTGTTTATATGTGAGTTTGTAGACACACGCATGCATGCATATATGTAAAGAGATAGATATAGATATATTGTTAGATAAATACATATATAGATGTATATTCACATATATATGTACATATATGAATATATATAATTATTCATATATATACACACAAGCACACACACACACACACATATATATACATATCACATATGTAATATATATTATATATGTATGTATATATAATATTATATATATATATATATATATATATATATATATATATATATATATATATATATATATATTATGGATGTATATAATATATACATGCATTCATATGTGTGTGCATATATATATATATATATATATATAATATATATTATATATATATATATATATATATTATATATATATATATGTGTGTGTGGTGTGTGTGTGTGTGTGTGTGTGTGTGTGTGTGTGTGTGTGTGTGTGTGTGTGTGTGTGTGTGTGTACGATACAGGTCTGTTTTCACTATCCCTGGTCATTTGACATCCTGAAGTAATTGTAAATTCAACGTCGAAAATGAGAGATATTCTAACAAAAATACGCCAGATATTATAATTAAATTTGGCCAAAAACTTGATTCTATATAATTCGTTGATACAAGATTATAGAAAAAAAAATATCTGTGATCATGTTATAACCAATCAGTCACATATGTGTCTTATTTCGATTTTCAAAAGATTTTTTTTCGGAATATATAAATTACATTCCTTTGCACTGATTATAAATATTTTTTGATGACTACCCAAGTTTGTTGAATGTTCTTTTTTAAAAAAAAAACAATGGATGAATCCGGTTGTTTGAAGTTAAAAGAATATATTTCTAAAAACAGAACAGTTATATTAGATCATTTATCCTCTCTTTTTTACCAAACACTTTGATATTGTAGGAATTCGTATTAGAAGCTCTATCAATTGCAGCTTTAATTTTCTATTTACTTTTATATGTAAGTGGAAAACACGAACAATAATAGTCACTTTATAGTGTAACCATCGTACGAATCATTCACTCAGGTTTTTCACTACAGAAATGTGATGCTTCCAAAGTTCTTACAGCATGATATCGGTCATATATGAGAGACTGTTTCTATCTGTAGTACGGAAGATATAGTTAAAATATACAGAAGATAATTTCATAACTACATGTGCAGAAATCTAGAACGTGTTTTGAATGATATATATATATATATATATATATATATATATATATATATATTATATATATATATATATATATATAATGAATAATCCCTTGTTTTCGTATTCATTATAAAAATTAAACATCAGAAAATTTTCATTATCTTTACTGAAGGCATAATATCTGTACATACATATTTTATATGTGTACATCTGCATGTAAATGTATGAACACATACACATACATATATACATGTGTGTGCGTGCGTGCACGTTTTTTCCACGTCTGCGCTTATTTTATATATACAGGGTGTTCAAAAAGTAGCTCGGCTGCCCGGCGTTGCAAGGCACTAGATAAACCCCCTACTTTGACCGAGGTAACCCCATACTTTGAAAAACTTTTGAACACCCTGTACATATAATGTATGTTTGTGTGTGTGTGTGTGTATGTGTGTGTGTATGTCTGTGTGTGTGTGTGTGTGTGTGTGTGTGTGTGTGTGTGTGTGTGTGTGTGTGTGTGTGTGTATGGGTGTGTATGTGTGTTTGTAGCCAGTGATAAAGATAATAAAGATATACCCTTGTAGGCAGATATATATAATAGGATGTCTGAGCATGTACCTGCGGAAGCACGCTATGAAATATGGCTACATAGAGCTTGTGTATAAGATATGAACGAAAAGGTTGCATTTTGTTATGAAATTTATTTGTACAACGAGAAACAGGAAATAGTCTACATCAGTAGACTGGTATAAAGTCAGTTTATAATGTAAATATAAATAGCAGAAGTTCGGCGGTAGAGAGAGATATTCGACTAACACCCTTTAGTCATCCTGAGGCGCACCATAGGAGCGGGAGACCTCTCCGCGGGCCTGGCGGGCGTCCTCCTCGGCGGCGAAGGCGATCTGGTCGAGGACGAACTGAGGGATCGGGTGGGGGAACTCGGGAGCCACGGGCAGTGGGCGCCCTGGGCTGGAATCCGTTCTCGTCAGCTACGTACTGAAGGTGGACGTCAGTGCCGTCAGGAGCGGTGTACCTGTCAACAAAACCATTCGAAGATGAACCTCTACGTAATGTAGATAATGAGATAATAAGTTAATCACAGGTTTTCCTTGGAATTCCTGTGATGGGTGTAATGCACTGTAACTACTAAGATTGTTAACACTTTATCAACATTTATCTTTGATGCAGACTGCTTGTTGCTACGTACGAGAAGGATCCGGCACTGTTGATGGCTCCCTCGTCTCCTACAGGAGAGCCAGACTCGGAAAAGACGATGCCGTTGGCAGTCTCCATGTCGAAGTTGTACCTTCCGTCGTCCTCGATCACGCGGTCGTCCCTCAGGATGGCGATCTCGTCGGAGGCAGCACGAGCCGCTGGGGCCTCGTACAGCCGGTCGGCACAGGCCACGGCGAAGAGGAGGGAAAACACTACCTGTAATACATAATTAGTAACAAATATTGCTATAATTCACGAGTGTTCGAATTTCATGGCTTAACTCGAGTATGTCAATTGTGCACCGTACTCGTACTTACAAATTTCATTTTGAATGACTTGTATCACTGATGCTCAGGTCTAAGACCGATTGCTTTTATAGTTAGGTTTCCGCGACCGTGAGTTGCCAGTTAAATTATATTTTCTCGTATTTTTAGACATCAGTTTGCAATTTGGATAACTTTGGCTTTAGTGAATACGTTTTCACTGAAGTATGTCCGCTAAGCAATTTCGTTATGTTATTAAATATGTTTAAAATAAAAATTTAGAAATTTGTGCTCCGAAACGAAGCAACACAAGTTTGTCGTCAATGAAACCTGTCGTAAGACATTCTGAGTTGATTATTAGATCAAGGTCGAAAACAAGATATATCCTGCACTTAAGTGTACACCGGATTCTAACCTTAAAACTGCAGTTTATTGACTCCGAATCCTGAAGATTAAACTCGGATTTGTAATATTAAAGCTATACATCATACGTCAACTACAAGAAGAAATATGTACAACATTACGTAGAAATGAAAAATTATGTATTAATAACGACGATGAATATGACATGATGCACTTTACAGCACTTTCAGTACCAGTAACAGACTTGCTATTAGTCCAGTAATCCTTGTTGGAATTCCTCTCAGCCTCAGGATCTCCCGATGCACCGTATCGAACGCCTTCTTAACTTACTTAGCATGATAGCTAAACTTATTATTCGATGTTGCCTAAATAATAATAATAATAACAATGATAACAACATAAATAATAATAAGGAACGTACCTGCTTTATTATTATTTATATTTCTAGCATATAAAGATATGCTTTTCTTATTCATTTAGTTTTGTTCTTGTCAATGATTCTTTATTATAGTGTAGATCAATTGGATTTCTAGTTAATGAGTTATGGAATAGCGGTTGGAAGAGATTTCTTGTTCTCTTCTTTATGTCTGCGACTTAAATCTTCACCATACTTGTATATATAACTGAAAGTTTAAAAGTAAAATAATGTGTTTTACCCTAATGTAATTTCGAATGAAGATCAATGGCTGGCGCGATGGTGCTGAATATTCTTTCAACACCATATTACTCATCTGAATGAATTCCTTATTTGCGGAAAATATGATGACCATTTTTCCCAAGTTCTTACTACAAAATTACTGTTTCATCAACGTTTCACGCTATTTTTGTATTGAAATGTAAATTCTACTAGATTTACTGAATATCCTTGGTATTTTCCTGGAATCCTATCAGTGAAATTAAGAAAATAATACTTAATTATTTGCCTATTTAAAATTACAGCATATCGCAATCATTTCATTAATGTTTGTAGTATATGTATATATACATATGAATGTGTACAAACGCCCACAGATATGTTATGTGTGTGTGTGTGTATGTATATATATATATATATATATATATATATATATATATATATATATATATATATATATATATATATGTTTAAGTGTTTGAGTGTGTAAGTGCGTGTATTAAAGTATGTGCATATATTTACGCGGCAGATAGATATAAATAATCAATCACGCATGTATTTGACGAATAATATACAGTTTTAAAGCAAACACTGGGTTCCCTCCCTTTGATAATATTCCTGTTTAAATTTCCTACTATTGGCCGCTTCACTTTATAATTTAGAAAGGAATATAGTCTTTCTAGAAGCAATACAGTTTGGTGTTTCCTTTCTACTGTAAAATGC